TGTTACTGCCTCTCGCGTCACCAATAGAAAGAGATTGAAAATTCTGGTATGTGTTGAACATGACTTGCCACCATATCAAACGAAAAAACTTGTATATAGAAAAGTTTTTAATAATATATGATTTTCTTATTTTTTGTATTTATTTTATTTTCATATTTAGATGTTAAATCTAAATTATTATATTTGAAATAAAGTCTTAAGAAAAATTCTGAGGTATGCACTCCTCGTGCATCATACGGGTTACGCATTGGTTTATAAAAAGAAAAAGTGATTATCAAAGTAACAAAAATTGAACAAAGCTCATCTTGCATTTGAGTTTGAAGTGTGCAGAAAAATAGAAGGTGTTTGTTTTGGTAAACATCAAATAAATTGTATGACATAATTTATATATGGAGCCAAGTAAAAGAGTTTGAAGTGTACTGCAGCAAAATAGTAGGTCTTTTGTGTTGGTAAACTTCAAATAAAATGTATGACACAATTTATATATAGAGCCGAATTACACTTTATGTACGAGCCGTTAGTCGAAAGATGAGATACATGGAGGTTATGCGTATAACCCGTACTTATGGCCATGCAGCGGTACCATCCGCGCAGGTCGAGCTTCTCTCCACGTTACTCGTATGATCCATTGGTCTCTGCCGGCTTCAGGGTGGACTAAGGTTAATACGGACGGGGTTTTAATATCGCAACGGGAATGAGTAGTTCGGGAGGTCTACTGCGTGACGAGATGGAACGCAGGATTAGTGGCTTTCTCATGAATATAGGCTTCTGCACAATTACGGGTGCCTAGTTTTGAGGTCTTCTACAGGGTTTGCAGCTGGCCTGGGACCTGGGATTTCATCAAGTGATTGCCGCGCTTGATAGCCAATGCACAACGAAAATGGTCCTTGGATCTAAGGACAATCTAGGAGCTCACGAGACCCTTGTCATGGCCATTCGCGGTATGGTTCAACGGGATTGGCATGTTCAGATACAACACGTGCATAGGGAGGCCAACTTTGCCGCAGACCATATGACGAGCTTAGCGTCAACTTCCTCGATTGGCTTGCAGCTAGTCTNCTCACCTCCCCCAGGCATGGGCGCCTGACATGATCACGATCTCCTCGTGGTGGGGTACCCCGACAATTTCTTGCGTAGTACCCCTTAGGCTGTCGACTTCTTTTATTGTACCAAAAAAAATCTAAGAAAAGCTCTGAACGACTGGCTCTAAGCCATTTCTGACGACGAATCAACAAGTTGAAGTGCTTTTCTTGTGTCCAGACCTCCGGAAAAAGCATGAAAAAAAACGGCTCGAATGGTACGATCCCTCCGTCGGACCAACCTACAAAAACGAAACGGTCCCTTCGCAACCAGTCATCCATAATATCAAATAAATCATCCGCTTTCAAATAGAAAGCAACGGGGCCGTCATAGTATTTTTTTTAACTCAAATACCCTCGAAGAGATGGCTAGTTCAAGATGCTGAACAACAAAGTTGGATTTTGAAAAACCACCATCATTATGGAGTACTTTCGTATTCTCTTTCCCAGGAAAGAAAGGGGGGACCTTGGAAGGAGATTCCTGCTGATCCATTCGTAATAGGGTCGGACGGAGTAGATAATTTCTTTGTTTTATTCTCAAAAGAAAAAAATATTACATTTTAAGTTATTCTCAATTTAAGACTCATTTTTTACTTTTTGACATAAATATGTGAACCATAGCATTATTTTTATAATATATATTTTATATATTAATAATAAAAATATTAACTATATTTAACAATTAACTTAAAGGAAAAAATTATTCCATGTTAATTATATTTTTGCAAAAGTTTAATAAATTTTATTTTCAAAAAAATAATAAGAGAATTGAAAAATATATAATATAAATATTATTTTAATGAATAATCTAAAGATATAATAAAATTTAAAAATAAATCAAAGTATATAATAAAAACAGAAAATAAAAAGGTGAAGTAATTAAATAAATTGAAAATTTTATTTACATATTATCGTTTACTTTTATTACGTATATATATTATTAATAAAAATATTATTTTATTTATACATTTTTCAAATTCACTTATCTATTTTTGGAAATAATCTTACGGAAATTCTTTTTTATCATTATGATAGTTTTACTAAAAATATATATTATTTTAAGTATGTAAAATATAAATTAAAAATTATTATCATTTTTTTTTTATAAACATCCCAAATTGGGATGGGGGGTTGAGGCTACACCCCCGACCTGTGAATATAATGGCCCAGCAGGCCTAAAAAAGTCAATGGTCTACATCCAAGTCGGAAATACATAGAGCAACATCAAAAGCATAGAAAATAAAATAAAAGAAAAATAAAAATACAAGGATCACAAAAATATCCGATGTGTATCTAAAATCAAATCCTCATAAAAGGTCGTCCTGGTCATAGTGACCTGGCATGGAGTCCAAAATGTCATATCTAGTCAGGGGCAGGAGGTGGCGGTCGACCGAATCTGAAGGATGGGTACTCTAACTGGTCCATCCGAATGAGCGTCCGAAGCTGGAGGGGAATGTCCTCAGGAAGGAGGGTGCGTCTCTGGGGTATAAGTGCCCCGTGCTAGCAAGGAAATCGGCAGGCCGATTCCCCTCCCGGAATATGTGCGAGACCTGGTAATGGATCGAACGGAGGGTGTCTCTGATACGCATAAGAGGATGCTGGATCTGCCATGAGCCCTGGTGGCCAGATGTCAAAAGTGTGATGACAGCCGCAACATCCATCTCTATCCAAACATGAGAGGAGATCGAGGCGGCAATCTCGAGACCAATCTGGAGCGCCTGAATCTCTGCATCATAACTCGAAAAAAAAATAAAAAAAATAAAAATGAGATAAAGTTAGTTGGTTCACATATTTATGTCAAAAGGTAAAGTTAATTGGGTCTGCTTGTTCGAAACTCTTGATCTTCTCTCTAATCCCCATGCCATGATAGGAAAAATTGACCTATTACATTGATAAGATAAATAAAAAAATGAGCCTTAAAAATGAGAATAACATAAAATGTAATTTTTCTATTAAGAAAAAAATTAAAATTCAAACCTTAAATTAATATAATTCTAGCTAGAAGATTTGTCTTGTGGAATTTCTCCTAAATTTGATATTGATTAGAAGCTTTTTTTTTTCATTTTTATTAATTTATTAATATTTAAAATAACTATGATAATATTGATTAGAAGTTAAAATATTTAGAATAACAATGATAATATTTATTAATATTTAAAATAACAATTGATATTTTTTTCATATGTCGTGAGGCAAGATGCTGCACTAGGATTATGTCCTTTTTTTTTTTCTTGCAAAGACAACTGGGAAATGATTGGTAGAGGAGGTTCTTTGTCAAAATTAAATAGTTGATAATAAAAGTTAAATAAACCACTCTTACATTGTTCGTCAATTCTTAAATAGTTGATAATAAAAATTAAATAAAATTAGGATAAGGGTTAATAATACTTAGACAAAA